GTTGAGTATTCCTTACCCAAAATGTTCAGGACCATAAATCTTTTGGATTTCAAATTTTCTCAGATTTTGAAATATTTACATATATATAATCTTGAGGATGGGACCCAAGTCTAAACATGAAATTCATTTATGTTCCATATACACCTTTCACACATAGCATGAAGGTTATTTTATACATATTTTAAAGAATTTTGTGCATAAAACAAAGTTTCAACTACAACCCATCACATGAGGTCAGATGTGGAATTTTCAAGTTGCCGCATCATGTCTGCACTCAGAAAGTTTTGGATTTTGGAGCATTTCGAATTTTCAAATTAAGGCTAGGCATCATTCTTCATTCCTCTTTTCCAAAGTGAGGAATCTGCAGCATCCATAAAGCTGGACCAGGAGTCAAAACAAATTCAAGCATCTGCCTACTACGTCATATTGCCTCTACACCACAGAACTGCACCTACTGCCACAAGCCATGCATAAAAATTCGCCTCATTATCTTCTCAGTTTATTAAAATACCATCAGCTACTAGCTAACAGAAATGGAGTGCTCAATTAGTTGCATTTTTCCCTCTGTAATTTATTTGTAGCTGAGATAAGCAAATTTTTTTTAAAAAGCAAGATGAACTAAAACATGGTATAGTCATACAAAGGAATATTATTCAGCCATGAAAAAGAATGATACGTGCTACTGCTACATGTACCACATGGAAGAACCTTAAAAACATGATGCTAAATCAAAAAAGCCTGTCACAAAGAACCACATATTGTACCATTCCATTTCTATGAAATGTCCAGAATATACCAATCCATACAGACAGAAAATATATTAGTGGTTGCAGGGGATGGCGGAGTGAGGGTGAATGGAGAGTGACTTCTAAGGCGCAGCATATAGAATTTCTTTTTGAGGTGATGAAAATGTTCTCAAGTTGCAGTAGTGATGGTTGTGCAACTCTGTGAATATACTAAAACACTGAATTGTGCACTTTAAGTAGGTAAACTGTATATGATCCAGGCATCATCTCATCTTGTTGTGCTTTGATTTATTGTGCTTCGTAGATTCTGCATTTTGCCACAAATGGAAGGTTTGTGGCAATCCTGAGTTAAGTAAGGCCATCCGTGTAATTTTTCCAACAGCATGTGCTCACTTTGTGTATCACATTTTAGTAATGTATCATATTTTAGTAATTACCACAATATTTCAAAGTTTATTATTATTACTATTATTATTATATTATCTGTTATGGTGATCTGTGATCAGTGATCTTTGATGTTACTTTTGTAATTGTTTTGGGGTGCCATGAACCCCACCCATATAAGATGGTAAATTTAACTGATAAATGTTGTGTATGTTCTGACTGATCCACTGACCAGCCATTCTCCATCCTCCTCCCTCTCCTCTAGCCTCCCTATTCCCGGAGATACAATACTGAAATTAGGCCAATTAATAATCCTACAATGGCCTCTAAGGGTTCAAATAAAGCAAGACTCACACGTCTCTCACTTTAACTCAAAAGCTAGATATGATTAAGCTTAGTGAGGAAGGCATGTCCTAAGCTGAAATAGGCCAAAAGCTAGGTCTCTTGGGTCAGTTAGCCAAGTTGTGAATGCAAAGCAAACGTTCTTGGAGGAAATTAAAAGTGCTACTCCAGTGAACACATGGATAAGACAGTGGAAGAATGTTATTGCTGATAGGAAGAAAGTTTCAGTAGTCTGGTAGAAGATCCACACAGCTGCAACATTCCCCTTAGCCAAAGCCTAACCCAGAGCAAGGCCCTAACTCTCCTCAATTCTGTAAAAGCTAAGAGGTGACAAAGATGCAGAAGAAAAGTTAGAAGCTGGCAGAGGTTGACTCATGAGGTTTAAGGAAAAAAGTTATCTTCATAACACAAAAATATAAGGTGAAGCAGCAAGTCCTGATGTAGAAACTGCAAGTGATCCAGAAGATCTAGCTAAGATAATTGAAGGTCACTATACTAAGCAGATTTTCAATGTAGACAAAACAGCCTTGTTTTGGAAGAAGATACCATCTAGAACATCAATGTCTCGCTTCAAAACATACGATGATTCTCTTGTTAGGGGATAATGCAGCTCCTGACTTTAAGTTGAAGCCAATGCTCACTGGTCATTCCAAAAATTCTAGGGCCCATAACAATTACACTAACTCTACTCTGCCTGTGCTCTATAATTGGAACAAAGCCTGGATGACAGCACATCTGTTTTTATATAGCATGGTTTACTGGCTATTTGAAGCCTACTATTGAGACCGCTTGCTCAGAAAGAAAGATTCCTTTCAAAATATTACTGCTCATTGACAATACACTTGGTCATTCAAGAGCTCTGATGGAGATGTACAAGGAAATTAATGTTGTTCTCATGTCTGCTAACACAAAATCTATTCTGCATCCCATGGATCAAGTAGTAATTTTTATTTCATTTAAGAAATAAATTTTAAGAAATTTATTATTAAGAAATAAATTTGAGAAATATTTAAGAAATAAATTTCATATAAAAGAGAAATATTACTTATTTAAGAAATAAATGTCATAAGGCTATAGCTGTCATAGATAGTGATTCCTTTAATGGATCTGGGGAATGTAAACTGGAAACCTCCCAGAAAGGTTTCACCACTCTAGATGCCATTAAGAATATTTGTAATTCATGGGAGGAGGTCAAAACATCAACATTAACAGGAGTTTGGAAGAGGCTGATTCCAACCCTCATGGATGATAGGAAGTAGCTGCAGATGTGGTGGAAATAGCAAGAAAATTACAAATGGTGCCCAAAGACATGACTGAATTACTGCAATATTATGATAAAACTTGAATACATGAGGAGTTGCTTCTTAGGAATGAACAAAGTGGTTTCTTGAGATGAAGTCTACCCGTGGTGTAGATATTATGAATATTGTTGAAATGACAACAAAGGATTGAGAAAGTTGACAAAGCACTGACAGGCTTTGAGAGGACTGACTCCAATTCTGAAATACGTTCTACTGTGGGTAAAATGCTATTAACGAATGCATGAAAGAAAGAGTCAACTGCTGCAGCAAATCTCATTGATATTTTCTTTTGTAATAAATTGCCACAATCACCCCAGCCTTCAGCAACCACCACTCTCATCAGTCAGCAGCCATCAACACCTGAGGCAAGACCCTTTACCGCAAAAAGATTACAACTCTCTGAAGGCTCAGGTGATCATTAGCATTTCCTAGTAATAAAGCATTTTTAAATTAAGGTATGTATGTACTGTTTTTTAAGACAAAGCGCTGTTGCATGCTTATTATACTATAAACATAACTTTTATATGTACCAGGAAACCAAAAAAATTGTGTGACCCCCTTCATTGTGATATTCACTTTTTTGCAGTGGTCTGGAATTGAACTTGCAGTATCTTTGAGACATGCCTGCATATGAATTATTTCTCAAACTGTTTTAAAAAATAATGACCCTATGACACTGTAAAATCCTTAATTTAAAAAATTCAATTATTTTCTAATATATTGCACATCAACTCAGGGAAGTGATCTAATAATTTTAAAACATTTTCAGTAATTATGTCATAAGCATTTTGGTGTTGCCTTGTAAAAAAAAATTTACTAATTCAGAAAAATGGAGTCTTCTTTAAAAAAATTTTTTTCACTTTTACCAAAAAATTATTTCATTCCATTTTTTAAATACTTCTGTTAAATACTCAGATTAAGTTTTACTGAAGCATAACTAACAATTTTAATTAGAGAGTTAGATATCTTAACAAATGTATACAGCTGTGTGCGTAATCACCACAATCCAGTTTGGGAAAACTTGGACCACCTAAAAAGTTCTCTATGCTCAGCTGGGTGCAGCGGCTCATGCCTGTAATCCCAACACTTTGGGAGACCAACGGGAGAGGACTACTTGAGCCCAGAAGTTTGAAACTAGCCTGGCAACACAGCAACACCCCACCTCAAAAAAATTTTTGTTTTTTAATTTAAAAGGTTCCCTGTGCCCATCCCTGCTCCTACCTCCAGACCCAGGCCACCAACGATTTGCTTTTGTCTTCAAAGTTTTGTGCTTTTTAGAAATTTCAAACAAACAGAATCATTCAATATATAGTCTTATGTATCTGGTCTCTCTCATTTGGCATGTTTCTGAAGTCATCCATTTGGCTGACTATCGGTAGTTCATTCTTTTTTAATTGCTGAGTGGTATTCCATCATATGTATGTACCACATGTTTATCCATCTATCAGCTGATGGGCACTTGAGCTGTTTATAGCTATCATGTTTTTAGCTATCACAAATAACACTGCTGTAACCATTGACATGAGTCTATGTATAGACACATATATTCATTTCTATTTGGTAGATACTTAGGAATAAATTTGCTTAGTCGTATAGATACATGTTTGACTTTTTTTTTTAATATATCTTGTATTTATGATTTAAGAACGAGTATTTAAAAACTATGACCTGTATTTAACTATAAGGGAGATTAGAAACCAAACAGATGGATATTTATAAAAACTGGTATTTCAGGAAAAGATTTAAAGAAGCTCATTCCAACTCCTTTGTATAAACTAGGGAACACACAACTACTTTAAGAAGAATTAAGTTTTTTCTTAATTGCTCTCCAGATTACATCAAAGGTAAAACATTTAGTGATCTTAAGGCTTTAACTTCCTCAAATTTTCAATGGATTGCCTTTCAGAATGATTTTTCTAATTAACGTGAGAGGAAATCTAGCTAATAAAAGGCCAAACTCTTAGATTCTTTTCAAGAGTTGAATGAATGTTTATGTATCAACACAGATGGATTTCAGTAGTCACTCACTAAGCAGAAAGGAATAATTAATTTTTATCATCCATGTACCATACAAATATGAAGTTAAAATAGAATTTTCATTGATGGCCAATACTGTAGATTCCATGTTACAATGAATTCCAAGATCATCAATTTCTGCATCTTTAGTAGAAAGTGTAATTTTCAGTGTTACAATGTCTTCAAAGAGTCTTCAGTTTGTCTTTATCTTGCTCTTTTTGACTGCAAAGTGCAAAAGATTCCTGAACAAACTGCCTGCACATTGGGCACTGCTGAAAATACTTCACGCAGCCATCACACAGGCAGGTGTGTATGCATGGTAAGAGCACCCAGTTCACAGTCCCATTCTGGCAAACAACACAGTCCTTGCTGTTCTCCGATGGCTCAACTTCACTTTTAGAGAGTCTCACCTTTTCCAACAAACTTCTGTCTGTGTTTTTTTCTTCTGAAGAGGAATAGTTGGAGGGAGTGAAACTATTATTTGCAGACATGAAAAGTTGCTTAAGATCATGAAATTGACCTCGAGCCAAGAGTAAATATTGATAAAATATTCTGCAGGATAGTTTATAAGTCCTATCAGGAATATGAATCACTGACGCCATGGAAATAATATCATAAATTTCCCGGTCATCCTCATCAGCTAAGGTCAATAGCGCTACCAATGGATAGCGAGATGTGGGCACTGTGCCAAAGTCTTCAATTTTATTATCTCTTGGTAACCAGCAATATATTTCTTCTTTGCTATCCTTTTTAATACTTTTTGAAAATGTAAAGGCAAATTGCCACTATAACCATAAGAACAAAAATATACCAAAAATGATCAATAAGTTAGCAACACTTTCAGTGCTGATGGGTATATCTGATAAAATGATACAAATACTGTTCCTGATAGAGATATTCACTATACAGAGCATCTTCTAATGCTTGGGGAGTGCTTATTCTGAAGCAATAAACATGCTTCTGCAGAGCTTCATATAATTTTTGAACACTGCACCCCCAGTAGCATGTAAGGAGACTATCTTCAAGGCAATCTGTTGTCAAGGTTATGCCAGTTGTAATTGAAGCTGAAGATGGATTAGTGATCTCTAAGCCAAAAGGATTCTTGACTTGTCTCATTTGCTTTTTGAAAACTCTTGTGCTGAACTGGGTCTCTTCTGAAGTTCTCAGAATTACTGGAACATCCCAACCAAACCATCCCAATACCAGACCGGTAGTCACAACGAAGCAGGTAAAGACCACCGCGATATAGAAAAGCGGTGAGTATTCATAAAGCATTACCAGAAACACCGCAGCCATCAGGGTCTTTCGCTCTGGATAGAGCCAGGCTCAAGCCGCGTAGCCCAGCCCAGCCCAGTCCGACATGTTTGACTTTTTACGAAACTGCAAAACTTTTCCCAAGGGGCTATACAATTTTATATTCCTAGCAGCAATGTATGAGGTTTCTAGTTTCATCACATCTCACCAACACTTAAGACAATCTCTTTTTTATTTTAGCTAATTTAGAGGATTCATTAGTGGTATTTCACTGTGGCTTCAATATCTAACGACAGTGAACAACCCTTCATGTGCTTGTTTGCCATCCATACATCTTCTTTAGTGAAATCTGTTCAAATCTTCTGCCCTTCTAAAAACTGGTTGTTTTGGTATAAGTTCTAATTGTCTGCATATTCTGGATTCAATCCTTAATCATGTATGTTTTGCAAACACTTTCTTCAAATATTTGGCTTGGTCTTCTCATTTTCTGAATAGTGTCTTTTGAAGTAAAAGGTTTTAAATTCTGACGTTCATTTTAATCAACTTTTTTTTTTTTTTTTTTTTGAGTTTTGCTCTGTTACCCAGGCTGGAGTGCAGTGGTGCGATCTTGGCTCACTGTAACCTCCGCCTCCAGGGTTCAAGCGATTCTCCTGCCTCGGCCTCCAAAGTAGCTGGGACTACAGGCGTGCAACACCATGCCTGGCTAATTTTTGTATTTTTTTGTAGAGACGGGGTTTCGCCACGTTGGCTAGGCTGGTCTCGATCTCCTGGCCTCAGGTGATCTGCCGGCCCAGCCTCAGCCTCCCAAACGCCGATTACAGGAATGAGGCACCACGCCCAGACCATTTTATGAACTTCTGTTAGCAGATCACACTTTTGGTGTTACATCTAAGAAATTCTTGCCTAATCCAAGGTCATGAAGATTTACCCCTAGGTTTTCCTGAGAGATTTATAATTTTAGTTCTTATATTTAGGTCACTGCCCCTGTATTTTCTTTAAGAAATTTTATAGTTTTATATATTACTTTAAATAATCTGTTTTTGTGTACAGTGTGAAGGGTCTAGGTGCCATTTTTTGACAAGATGTATATCCAATTGTTTCAGTACCATTTGTTGAAAATACTACCCTTTTCCCCAATGTATTAGCTTGGCATCTTTGTCAAAAATCAATTTACCATATATATCTGAGTTTATTTCTTGATTCTATTTTATCCTATTGATCTATTAATATTTGACTATTAATATAGCTTTATATAAGTTCTGAAGTCTGGTGCTTTAAGTCCCTATGTTCCTTCTCAAAATTATTTTAGCTCTTCTAGGTCCTTTAAATTTCTGCATATATTTTAGAATTAGTTTCTCAATTTCTATAAAAAAAAGTACTGAGATTTTTGATAGAGAATCTACAGGTTACTAATTTGGGTTTTCCAATCCATAAAAATTATATATATTTCCTTTATTTGGGTCATTTTTCTGAAATGTTTTGTAGTTTTCAGTATACAGAAACACTTATTTTAAAACACCAATGATAAACTTCTTAAAGCGCTAAATTGAAGATAAAATAAAATAGCAAACATTATTTTAAAATCTTCCAAACACAGTTTTAAGTTTATCATACCTCATATCCAAAAGCAAGACAAGCAATGAACAAATAATAAAGATATATTATCTCATAAAGTCTGAGGGTTATAAACCATTCATAAAATTGAGCAGGAAAAAAGTTAACTCCTATTTCAAAGGTATTTGCCTTGAATGAAATCGCCACACAACTTTTTGGTAGCAGAAACTAAATACTCAATTTGGTTTTTCTTCCTGAACTCCCAACAAACTCAAGAAATTTCCACAAACTAGAGTCATATCCACAAACAAAATATATTTTTGTAAATAAAATGTAGTACTGGAAACACAATGAAACACACCATCTCTAGTTTTTTTTCTATCTCAATTTTTAGAGCATGATTTTTGTCTCCAATTTTAAGTGTATAAGCCTTCATTGAAGCAAATCTGACAAATAAAATGGAATTGAGGTTCTATCAAAGGTTCAAGTCTTGAAAATTATTTTTAATTGATTATAAATATTAACAAAAGTTTTTCTCTTTCAAACTGAAAACATTTTGCACATTCATAGCAGGAGTCACATAGAGTTCACAATTACACTATTTATAAAATAGCTAAAGATAGGAACTATCTAAATGCCCACCGACAAGAGTACATGGCATAAATTATGGTGTATTCACATTATTGAATATTGTACTATAGTGAAAATGAACTACAGCTATATGCAATAATATGTTGAATATTAAAAACATAAAGTTGAGAGGGGGAAACAAAGCATGTCCAAAAGACAATAAGCAGTATGATTCCAAGAAAAACTAAATATATTATTTGGGCAGCAATACATTAATAATATAAACCATTTTAAAGAGGCGAAGGAATGACAAATACAAAATTCCAAAGAGTAGTTTCTGGAGAAAGGGAAGAGCAAGAGGAGGCAGGAAAACGGAACAGTTGAGGAACACATAAGTAAACAAATCCAAGTTATTATTAATATTGTAGTTCTTGGGTAGAGTGGAAGGTTTCGTATGTTTTATAACTTACACATGTTATCTAATTCTTTTGTATCATATTACATTAAAAAATATTTTTTAAAACACAAGCAAAAACTATTTTTTAAAATTACTCATTATAAAAAATTTTCCAGAAGTTTAATAGTAAACTCAAAATATACTTCAAAGTTTTTAGAAAGTTCTTACCTTTGTTTCTGTGCAACTGCTTTGTCCAAATGCTGAAAGATATCCTGAAACAAGGTGCAGCTGGATCGACTGTTAATAGTATACCCATATCCTCTTTTCCAATATTGTTTCAGATCATTTAAATACTCTAATACCTAAAAAAAATTCAAAAATAATTTCTAATATATTTTCAAAAACATAACAGATTCCCTGATTTAATAATGATTCTCTAAGAAATGGTTATAGTGTTTAATTACCATTCTGCACAAAATATAGTATTTATGTCATGTCAAGGACACATTTAGAAGAAAGAATAAAGAAGAAGAATATTCATTAAAACACAGAAGATAACAACAGTGGATGAGAAATGTTTAAGAATTTTGAGAAGGTAGAAGTCAAATAGAAAATGAGTTACTTTGGTTCATGTATCATTGGTGAAAAAAATAATAATAAAAGTGTACCAAGGATATGGGGAAATGGGTACTGTCGGGAGGAATGTATATTGGTGTAGACATTCAAGAGGGCAAACTGGCAAAATCCATGAAAACACACATACTCTATGACCCATTTAATTCCATTTCTTATAAAGTGATATTCACAGAGGAACACCAGCGAGAATGTACAAGAATGACTTACAGTGGCACTACTTATAGATGCCAAAAAATCCAACTAAATTCCAACAGTCGGTAGATGGTTAAATAAACTATGGTATACACATACTACAGAATACTTTGCAGTTATCAAAAAGTTCTGTATTATAGATCTCTATGTACTGACATGGAAGAGCTCCAAGACACAATGTTGAATAAGAGTCCGTTAAAAATAATACATACCCTATAATACCATTTATTATCCCCCCCACACACACACACACATTATACCCTTTATATTTCTAAGAATGATACAGATTATACAAGTATAGAAAACAGTTTGAAACTTAGCTATCACTGATTACAGTGATTAATCTCTGCTGCAAGGTCTGGAATCGAGAGCTGGTAATTAGCCTTTATCTGAGGGTTAAATTTTGCACTTACATATCATTTGATCATTTGCTTATGTAGAAGTGGAGAACTAAAACCTTTATCTAGAACTAAAACCTGTAGCTAAAACCACAACTAGAGGACTAAAATATGTAACCCAAAAGAGGTTCAAGACGACTGCAATAGTCACGAACCTTTCTTCCCAAAAGAGCTCCTAGAGAAACTAAGTTCAAGTCATAGTAAGTTTTAAGAGCAGGGGTGGGTCAGTGCCATATGTAAAAACAAAATAAAAAATACATTAAAGGGGTGAGGAGGAGCTGCTTGCTACACTAGCATTGCTGCCTGCAATCTAGACTAGCATAGCACAATGGCAAGTTGTGTCCCTTCCAAAGGCAGAAGTGTAGATATTTATTAATGAAGAAAAGGAGAATAGCTGAGGGTAAAACGATGAATAAGTGGTTTATAAAGGAAATGAAATATTACATGAACGCCTTGAACGAGGCTCCGAGCAAAAGGTGACACTGTCTCTTAGCTCAACTGACAGATGCATGAAACGGTGAAGCTATATATTTGCCAAAATCACTCCTGGTTTTGGAACCTGACAGGATTGAAAGGAAGCTGGCAAACCTGAGTGGCCTCGCCCTGGAAGACATTCATATAAGATGATGGACTGGACTAATTATTAATGACTGTGTATACTCTTTTGATGTAAGGTATCCCTCTTTGAAAACCAGGGGCTGACCTGTGGTGTTATGATATGTATATATTGGCTTTCATCCACACTTTCTGGTTTGTAACTCCCATATCCCTTGTTGAAGTCTTTTGGTATAATACTGGGTGTGTGAGGCCTCAGGGGCAGGCCTCAGGAAACAGAATCTCTCTCCTGCCTCCCTTTCCACAGTGCAGAGGCAGAACTCTCATCTTCCTGCCTTTCTGGGGGTCTTAAGATCCTGCCCTGAAAGGGTCCTGCCTCATATCCTGGGGGGAAGGAATACTTCCATAAAAACCCAAGAGGACTGGATTTGGAGAGCTTACAGAAAGCTGAACATGTGGAACTTCCTGGAGGGTGGCATGCCCAGGGAAGACATGGAAGCTCCACGCCCCTTCCCCCATAACTCGCCCTACTCATCTCTTCATCTGTATCCTTTGTAACATCCTTTATAATAAATCAGCAAACATGTTTCCTTGAGTTCTGTGAGCTGCTACAGCATATTAACTGAACCCAAAGAAGATGTCATGGGAACGCCAACTTGAAGCCAGTTGAGCAGAAGAGTACCAATGGGGCACCTGGGGACTGAGCCCTCAACCTGTGGGATCTAACACTACCTCCAGGTAGACAGTGTCAGAACCGAACTGGAGGACACCCAGCTGGTGTCTCCTGCTTGGTGTG